ATTATTCCTTATGAAGATTGCGATAGGAAGGGGATCCAGCCTCAAACACTGCCACTATGCTTTTGCATGAGTATAAAGTACCAATTAAGTATATGCAGATAATTGGCACTATAGTCTATAAATTGAATGTCACCGACCCCAACCAGTTGGGAACTTGTGCTAATAATGATTAAGATGATGATGTCACTTATGCCACTAACGCAAAGTAGGATGTTCACTGAGGCTTTATACTATAATATCAATCAGTCAATTGTAGTCACTGCATAGAATTCTCTCTTGAGAGAAGATCAAAGTTTAAACAAACAACATGCAGTCCCTAATTCCTCCTATTGTACTTGGGGAAGGAACATAAGAGCTACTATGAGATAACCAAGCTTTAAAAATGAACATATGAAAAGCCAAGCTCTAAATCATGAAAAACACAGTTTAAAAAGGTAGTACTACATGAATCATTTCACACCAGAGAAGCAAACATACTATCCAAGTTGATTTTCATTCTTCTTTTATAGTCTGAAAGAATCGATTTTTATTCTAACAAAACACAACATACCTTGAAGCAATGGATCTTCGGACTCGACCACTCTCTTCCAGCTGCTCCTGCTGCAAAAGTTTAGCAACCATAGAGTCCCTCATTCCCTCGATATCCTCCCTATCTTTCTCATCGCCGCTTGGTGCATCCTCCTCATCCTTCTTGGCTATAGACCTAACCTTTTCTAAATAAGCATAAGCCATCCGCTTCTTCTTCTCGGCCGCAGATTCCCCGACTTCATTCTCCTCTTCAGCATCCTCCTTTTCTTCTTCCCCTTCCAAGAAATGTTCTCCTTCGTCGTCGCTGCTCTCTATGTCTTCATCCTCGAAATTGCGGCGGCGGCGGCGCTTGCTTTCGCCCCCTTCCGGCTCGAAGAAAGGATCAGAAAATCTATTGTTCTTTTGGGAAGAAGGTGGAACTTTCTTCCTCTTGTTCATAATTTTGCTCTTTCTGTTCATGGTTGAACTCCAAATTGATGGATTTTGTGCGCTTAAGCTGCTGCTGGGTTTTAGGGGTTTAACTGAAGGGTTTCGAGCTTCGCTTATTGAAGGAAGTTACACAGTTCGGCAAAGCTATAAAACACACAGTTGTCCCAGCGAGGAAGAAGCCCTAGAGCACTCAGGCCGAAAAAAGACCGAGGATTCAATTTATATTGTAAAAAAAAGGCTAATTTTGAGATTATAGGCCCCTTTTCTTTTTTTTGAAACCAAGGCCCTTTTTTGGGTTGCTCTCATATGAATTAGTGAGTACTACGTATATGTGTTTGTTATTGTAGAATTGTACATCTATAGTTCTAGAACCGAACTAATGACTGAACCGGTCAAGATAGTGATTTATACTCGTTCACTTGTTGAATTAGTGGTTTAAATGTTCGAACTAGTATTTAATTTTTTTTTACAGATTGATGGATATCTGGACCGCTGGACAGGCTTTGGGTGGCCTAAATACAATTCTGAGGCCCAACATGAATAAAGCCTAGTATCGGAGCGAAGAGAGATTGAAGCCCAAGGGTCGAATGAAGTAACGTATTGAAGCCTGGCCCACAACGACAGGTTAGACCCGGAACGAAGGGAAGTAGTGATCCCCCAGCTCGTGGGATTGCAGGGAAATTGATGACTGATTATCCACAACGATTGATGCATGATGGATGAATTACCGATAATGTAGCGCACGAAATTACATGCCTGGTATACGGTAGAATTATATTTTAAATAGAGGGTAAATCCCCCAATGTAAACCAAGCTGAATTAAGCTAATACAAACTTACAAGAGTTCTACATATTCTATCAATATTATTCTTATTCTCTTTTTAGTTTTTCACGCACCATAGCTGTTGGGCTAAATCACATTTCACATGGATTTTAGTGAAAGAAATGAAAATGGTGCACTTATGTTCGCCAATGATGCATTTTGTAAAGTAGGTAGTTCGTCATGGTGTTTTTTCAAAAGCGATAGTGCATTTTACGAAATTTGATTTCATTAAGAATTACCGCCGCATTTTTCCTACTTTTTTCTTATTTTTCAAATTTTTATGTCCTTTAGATCTCACATTATAAAGCACCACATGTATTCTCATTTCTTTCATAAGATTTCATTCTCACCTGAACCAAAATCTATATATACACTTTGCATATAATAAGAATAGTATTCTTTTCGTCTATACATAAAAAAATATTATGTTTGATTGAAGCTACACTTATATTAATTTATTCTATAGTAGAATTAGATTTAAAAATAGGGAGAACTCCTTAGGTAGGAGTAAAAAACTATTAAAATACCAAAATAAGAGTCATAAGTTTTTTAAGATCAAAACAAGAGTTCACATTGTCATTGTTATGCTATCAAACTCACCATATTGTCACATTGTAACTGTCACACCATAACCATCTCACTGTCATTTGTTGTCACCGGCCATCAGAGTGCTGTCATGGATCGCCGACAGTTGATTGATCACATTGACATATTAAATTGTCATCATTTTTGCACCACTCTGCCAATGTGTATTATAAACCACACTGTCATTATACTCCTATTTTAGTCTTAGAAGACTTAGAATTTCTATTTTGGTATTTTTATAATCCACCCGTCCCTATTTTGATTACAAATTGCGAAAAACAAAGAAAAATCTCAAGTTTTTTCAATTTATTTTATTTAAAGGATGAGACATAAATAAAAAAATAAAATTTCCATATTTAAAAACTACATCAAAAGCTTTACAAAATAAGAGGTGACAAGAATATTTTATTTTATCAAATAATCAATTAAAATGTACAAATAAAGAAAAGTTATCGTGATTTTGGAATAGTAAACATTGTAATCAAATGTGGGAGGGAGGGAGTACTTTTTTACTCCTATCCAGAGAAATTTCTAGTAAAAATAAAACGTACGTATTTAAAAGTACATCAAAAGTTGTAAAAAATAAGTAATGTTTTTAACTGTTCATATATATTATCTAATATTTTCCAAGAATATTCAAACAAATTTTTTTCGCGACACGTACTCGGTATTAGTATTAATTGTATTTTTAAGCGTTTGAATCATAGTTATAACATCTTATTTTTCAATTTTTTTTAACAAAAAATACTCCTTAGATCTTTTCATAAATATTTATTCCTTTAATTACAGAGTACTCCATGTATGCTACTTTAAAAAATTATGCTAAAAACACTTTTTGTTAGTCGGTGGATATCTTGACATTATATGTTAGGGGTCTAATCTTGAAATGGTACGCAGCGCAATGCGTTTCAAGAGGCTGGACTAGACCGGTTTGACCCTTGGTTTGCCGGTTCCCTGTTCAAACCGACCGATCCAGTTCGATTTTCAAAACTGTATACATTTAGGTATACAATGTTTGTCATACATTTGACATATATGGAGTTTAGGAAAAATATGATGCTCTTTTCAACTATATACTCATAGTACTTATTGAAAACATGCATATTAATATGTAGTAAGTACATTTCATAACATAATGCTTATTTCATAATTTATTTTTAGCATTTTAATCAAAATATGCAAGCACACTAAAAAATACATGTATCCATATTTGATAATTCTATAATGCTCATCATGGTTATTCAAGGATGTGCATCCGAGATTTGCATGTTTTTAAAAGTGAAATTTGCACTAAATATGACTAAAACATAATGACTTTCCTAATGTAGGACTTAAACTTTTTTATTCTTTAAATAGGACTTATTAATGACCTAGTGGAAGGAATAATGTCCAATAACGATGGACATTTAGTTGAATAATGACTACTTGATAATGACCAACAGTCCTACATTGGGAAATAAAAACATATGGTCCTATATTGGGAAAGTCATTATGTTCTAGTCCTATTTAGGTAAATTTCTCTTTTTAAAAAGCACAATAAACATTTTATATATTTATTTTTTTGACAAAATGTACTCATTATAATATATTCTCACCGTCCGTCATATATCTTTTTAAATGTATGTTTTATTTGTCCGAAAAAATGTTCTCATTACAATTTTTACATTTAAAATATCACAATTACCCTAACTTGATTTATTACACCTCACACACCTCATTTAGGGGCCCGTTTGATGATTCTTAAAGGTATGAAATGATATAATTTTAAAATCTATGAGAAATTATAAGAGTCCAGAAATCTAAAATGAAGTTTTTTTAGAAAGATTTAAAATCATAATTTAATTAGTGATAGGTAGAAGTGACTAGCAACAGGGGTAATTGGCGGTAAGAGTGGTAACCGGTGCCGGGAATGGTCAACAGTTGAAAGAAATATCAATCCCTCATACTGATATCTCCAAAACTCAAGAGAGATCAGAACTCTCCATTTAAAGAATTTATGGTATCTAGAAATATCAAATTCGATCTCTTTTAATTTCATCAAACAACAAAAAAGATTCTACTGTCTAGAGATATTTGGATTCATATTTCTTTCTGTTCACTAAACACATCCTTAATTGCGAAAGCGGGGCATCATTGAGTTGCAAAAAGTTGAATTACAAACAAAAAAAACTTCAGTCCCAAGGTTTCTATAACAGCTCAATTTATCAAATATTTTTTTAGAAACAACTCTTATTGACAACCAACACACAAATTTTACTCAATCAACTAAAAGATGAAATGGCAACCCAAAGATGGTTCGTGTGCCTTACTCAAAGACGCCCCTTGATAAAAAGAATGGAGTTTTGAAAGCTTTTAGGGCCCAAAATGTCATGCAAAAACTTTGGATGAAACCTACTTACTACAACAAGTGCATTGGGAGAGAGACCAAAGAATGGCATGTTGTGTTTAACATTTAAATATGGACGGTAACGTCAATGCTGTAGGCGTAGGCTGTAACAAACATTAACCCCTGCCTATAAAAGGCAAAGAGGGCACCCGTTCCAGATTATACGATAGAACAAAACCCCGTTGAAACAATCAGAGATCAAAGAGAACCCAAGATCAAAAGATGAAAGTAATGGTGAAGATGGGAGAAAGGAAGATTAATGTAAAGCCAACACAATTAATCAATTATTATGGTATTTGAGTACATGAATGAATATGCATCTGACCTCTTCCAGAACTCAGAAGGAAATATCACAGCCAACCTTCACTGCAAACGAATCTCACAGTTTTTATGTAATTGGTCAATTAATAACTTAGAAAATCAAGATTCAAAATCTCACTTTAACATCTTAACACTGGAGAAAAACAAACGCACCAAACCGCTAATCTGTGATAGCACAATGAAGCGAACAAAGAAATCTCAATTTCGGATGCTGGATGGAATCTCCCCCGCCCACAAACTTGCGCGTAAAAATGCGCGAAATTCCGGTACTCCAAGCAACCATATAATAGGGGATTAAATTTCTGGAGCAGGGGCAGGAGTCTTGAGGAGCGGCTGAAGGGCCTTCACAACAATGCTCATATTTGGACGGAACTCTGCCTCGTATTGTACACACAATGCAGCAACGGCTGCGAGCTGATCACCAAAGGTTAAACAAAAAAACAACATCTTTCTTAGATGTACTGTGTATATATATGCAATTGGAAACACCTTTCATTCATATTCCTTATTCTAGCTCAAAAAATGTCATTTTCGGTCCAACGACTATTAGTTCATTCTCACTTTTTGGTCTCCAACTTCTGTTTTATATACTTTTGGTGCACCACTATGAATTGCTTGCTTTTGGGCATTCTGACAACTACCCACCTAATTTCCAGTTGAAAGTGACCAATGAGGACAAAATGTAACGCACAATTCCTTTTTTTTTAAAGCCAACACAGTTCATAGTTGTGCACCACCAACAACAACCCAGTAGACTCCCACAGAAGGAAGTAGGGTCTGGGGAGGCTGTGTGTACGCAGACCTTACCCCTACTAAAAAGTAGAGAGGCTGTTTCCAAGAGACCACCAGGCAAACAAAAGTGGAAAAATGGAAACCAGATAAAAGTGGAAATGACCTTATAATCATGGTTCAAAGTGTAAAATGAGATGTAGATATAGCAAGAGGGAGAGGGAGAAGGGGGGGGGGGGATAGATATAGAGTAGGAGAGAGAGACCTTAGCCACTCCCTTTGGAGGATATTCAATGAGTTTTGGATCCACACATTGTTTCACTTTATCTTCGCTTAACCTAGGAGTAGCCTACAATAAAATGTTTTGAGCAAGTATGAATTACTCATGAACAAGAATAGCTACTCGATAATAAGCTGACATGGTATAAAAGGTCTGTTTTTAGAAACATTCTTTTTATTGCCATATACAGAACCTTCAAGAGCTTCCCCATCAAACCCTTCATAAATCTTCTATGAATGCTATCAAAAAAGAGATTTGAGGAACATGGAATATGGAAAATATAGAAGAGCAGCAGAATCTATTATACGCACCCATGTAACAAGTGACTGCTGCCCACGAGGCATCGTATGGTCTACAGGTTTTCTTCCAGTCAAGAGCTCAAGCAGAACCACCCCAAAGCTATATACGTCACTCTTCTGAGTAAGCTGACCAGTCATTGCATATCTGAAAAGCAGACACACGTTTGGAAACATTATAAACACTTAACTGAAAGTCACTTCACACAAAATTTCTTTCCCAATAACAATAATAATTCAGCATCAGCATGAGATAAGGTATGAACTTTCTTGTGTACGGAGTACATTTTATGCATTTGCAAACTAGTCAAGTTCACAAGTAGGTTCATTCACTTCAACAATCATTATCTATTTTCTTTGATTCCGAATATTCAATCTTAAGAATTGCAGGAAAAAACCTTCAATTCAATACAAGGTGAATATATGAAATGCAAAGGACATAAAAACAAAATCCTGGGAAATGGTAAATCATTACTCTGGTGCATGATAACCGAATGTTCCCAAAACTCTGGTAGAATGAAGCCGTGCAGCCATATCAGGAGTTTGGTTTGAAAGATTAAAATCTGCAATCTTTGCTTTGTAATCTTCACATAGAAGGACATTGCTGGATCGGATATCCCGGTGTATTATGGGAGGTTGGACCTTCTCATGCAAATATTCAAGTCCCCTTGCAGCATCGATGGCAATCCGTACTCGCTGTGACCAGTCAAGTGTAGGGCCAGGCTGTGCACCTTGTACTCCCTTCCTTCCTGAAGCATAAAAACACTTTTATGAAATTTCACATTATAATGCAACAAACCCTCAGGTCAACCTCATATAGTCCGTTTGCGTCGATACACAATTATTTTGCATTACCATGTAGTATGTCATGTAAAGACCCCATGGTTGCAAACTCATAAGCTAATACACGAAGATTGCCTTCTACAAAGTAACCAAGCAGTTCGACAAGATTTTCATGCTTCAACTTTGAGACCATAGAAACCTTGTAAAGCCAAAAAAAGAAGCAGATCGATTGATATTTGACATGAATGTGTCACATAAACAACACAAATTTTATGTAGAGCATCAGACAAACCTGAGTCAAGAACTCCGTATTTGAATCTGGTTCAGATGAAACATCTAGCTTTTTCACTGCTACAGCTTGGCCATTATTTAAATTTGCAAAGTACACTCTTCCATAAGATCCCTCTCCAATTAAAGCTTTTGATCCAAAATTCTCAGTTTGTTCTTTCAGTTCATCCAGAGACAACTTTGGCACCTCAATTGCTGGTACTGCCTTTTGCACTTCAGTCTTGGCAGGAATTGCTGCCTTTGTACCTTTTTCATGCCCTAACATTTATATGGTAGATACAGATTATACAATGAAGTATATAAAATTGGTCTATCAATATATCAATAAATCAGAACACGCGACCTGAAAAGACTTCAAGAACTCTTGAATTATAGTTATTTCAACAAATACAATCAACTTAACAGGTGTCCTAGCTAACAACATGCAATAAAATTAGGTGACTCTATTAGCCAGGTCCTTTGCAAATGAATTGGACTAATATGGTATATGATGACAGAGTAATGAGAAAAAAGTCTGTCACTTGTGTGCAGTTTCAACTTAATACCTACTACTATTTCTTTAAGAATTTAGAAGGATAATTATGGTAATGAGACCGTATGATTAGTACTGTATCAAATTAATGGTAAGTGATCAATTTTTCCGGATATCTCGAAATAGTAAGATAACTAGTTATTTACTTAGTTCATTGTTCATGGACAGCGCGGTACAATTCACAAGACGTCATTGATTATTAGAATATCTAAATCATCTAATGGACCAAACAAGAGTCTAACACTTCCACATAAGGGATAATGAAAATTGTGTATCATAAAAATTGAAAATGAAATGTACCATTCGACCAAATTATATGTAAACTAAAAACAAAAATATATTCAAAAAAGATAAAAATGACAGAAATTTACCCTCAGAATTATTTGTGGGGCCTTTTAGTAGCTCACTTTCATGACGAGGGTAAGATTCATCCACTTGACGGATGCAACACAGCCACCTTCGCATCCTTTCTTTTTCTCTTACTTAAATTTGTAATTGTTTAATTGTGCTTCCCTATTGTAAGCAGTAACAAGGTTATGCATGTGCCTGTGCAGCAATTAAAAAACATAAACAGCACTTCCAACTTCAAAATCAAGGCACTAAATAAATTACATCGAGCATTGTCACACCCTATGACCCTATAGCTAATTAAAAATATAACATTTTAACATCAATATAGATTTTAACATCTTTAGACAGAAATTACTTAACCTACTGTTTCACAAAGATACAACTTTTATATTTTAGCAAGGTACAACGATTGGAAATCATCGTATATCTATATTTTTAAATTTATTTGTTTGTTTGACCAAATACAATGCATCAACCTTCTTTGGGACACAATTTATAAAAATCACTAAATATAATGAACATTAGCTTCTTTTGTTCAAACATGATTCTTAATTATTTTAGGATAAAAATACGTTTTCGTATCAATGTGGCAGAGGGAGTGGTTTGCAGGGGGGAGGGGGTTCTTTATTTTGAAAGTCTGGGTTGTTGGAGGGGGGAGGGTGGTTGATGAAAGAATAAGAGAGGACAATCTCCTTACATCAAAATGAGTTGAATGCGCTTATCCACTTTATCATTAAAAGACATTTTTTTCTTCCAATGGAAAATCATTAAAAAACTAGATGCATTTCCAATAAATGTTTTTCATACAGTTGACCGTCTTTCAAACAGATTTAGCAATGGATTTCATAAAAATGCAGCGTTTAAAAACAAACCTTCATTCAAATGAATGTATTTGTGGTAATACATCACATGATAAGTAATGTTCTTTCGTATAATGACACAATCCCAATATTTTTATTCCAAGGTTCACCAAATATAGAAACTCAAAATGAAAAGTTAATTGCACCTCTAGCTATCACTTATTGTAATCAGCCATCCGTTGGCAGATTAAGCATAAGAATAATGTTTGTCCAAATTAAAACCAATACGAATGAAGTATTCAAAAGAGTAAATATTGCAGGAGAATTGTAAGCTGTGTTGCTTGAGTACACTGGAACATATAAGGTTTACAATGATGGCATCTAAGACCAATTTATAGAAGGCTAAACACTATTGCATCATGCCTACAAAGGTGGGTAGTGGGAGAATTTACACTAATAATTAATGGACCCAGTAATGTAGTGTAGTTACAACTGTCCACTGAGTTAGTCCGGGGTCAATGGCTCATAGCTCATTGTCCAGGACTCCAGGCTATGGCCATAATGGATGGTCTGAGCTATGGACCTAGACAGGGGTCTGACCCAATGTCTGCAACTCTGCATACATATTGTCTGATGCTCTGGGCTGTGCCAAAGATAACGAGCTGCTGCGAGACGAGTCCATGGTTCCAACACGTAGCAATGCAAGAAAATCAAAGAGAATGCATAAATAGAGTGTGAACTCTAAAAAAAGTCTTTCAGATCCAACGGAAAGATAAGAAAATAAAATGAACTAGATTGTCAAGGGAGATAGCAGTGAGAAAATGGGAGGCAGGATCGGCCATTTTACCACAAACTCGTATCAATGTGGCAGGGGCCATAACGCATAACAGGTGACAGCTTAATGTTTCTCAACTGTTGCACCCTCCCCTCCTCTATCATCATCTTTATACTCCCACCGTCCCACAATCATATTCCCTGTTTTCCTTTTTCATCAATCCCAAAAAAAACTTTCCCACTTTTTTCTCTTTCCCTTTTTGGAAAAGGATATGCAGTTCAAAATACTTCACTCACTTCTAAACAAATTCTAACCACCTACTTTTCAGTTTGCAACAATTTTTATAAGGAAACTAATACAACATGCTAAAAATAGATATTTCTAATTAATAATCCCTAGAAAGGATAGTTAATGATATGAGAAAGCTCTAAGGCATGAAACAACAACCAACAAAAACAGCCTACATTGAAGTCCCACATGTGGGGTCAACATACCCCACAAGTGGGGTCAACATATCCGGCAAAGTACGACAAGTGGGGTCCGGTCGTCCGGGGATTGGATGTACCCAAGCTTTACCTTGTTACCCCACTTCAAAAGGTAGGGACTAGGGAGGGTGTGTGACATCTGACATCTACTACATCAAATGTTAGTGAAAATTTAACTCCCCTCTAGGAACAAAAGTACAAAACAATTCCTGACAGACATAAATTACCCATGTCAGAGACAAAGCTCCACTGTACCAGCATTCACTGCGTTATGAAGGGACACCTCCTTTCTAGTACGAGATTTCAAGATCTGAAATCACCTGTTGAGCAGATCGCTTACTTCTACCGAAACATAGGAATCTATCAAAGATTACTAATGTGAAAATCCCTATATTAACCAGTTCGACTGTGAACCGCAAGTAAAATCTACAAGCTGAAGAAATCGCAGATCAGAAGGATCTTTCAAGTAAAACCTGAACGAAGATCGAGCGCCAGAAGAGCCTTACCAGTTAAGCTAATGATGATCGGAATAACATCTAGCCCAATTTTGATAACCTTCGAACCAGACGAGCTATGATCGTCGTCACTTTTACCACAAAGCTTCTGGAAAATGGAACAATTAATTGAAGGATAAAGAAAAGGAAGATGAATAGTGGCGGAAGCAATCGGAAAAGACCTGGATGATCGCGAAGAAGGCGGAATCTTCGCAGCTACGGTTTCTCCGTTTTCGTTTGCTAAACGATCAATGGAAGTGGTCCCATGTCCCCAACCCCCAATTCCCAAATTAGAAAAGTTATTGTTATACTTATGCAAAAGTATAGGGAGTAATTATGAAAAAATTTCACAACATTCTTAAATTTGATTGCTTATACTCTACTCCTTCCATCCCCAAAAACTTGTGACAAAATTAATAAAAAAATTACTCCCTCCGTCCCAAAATATTTGCAACATTAGCTTTTTCAGCAGTCGCGGGAACTTTTGTTTATTTCTACGTTTTCATTGGTTATTTGATAAAATAAAATATTCTTGACACCTCTTATTTAGAAGAACTTTTCATGTAATTTTTTGATATGTAAATTTTATTTTTTATTTCTATACCAATATGTAAATAAAATGAATTGAAAAAACTTGATATTTTGCCTCGGGAATACAAATGTGGCAAATATTTAGGGACGGAGGGAGTATATAGTTGGAAGTGATGCAAAAAAAGAAAAGTGTGATGAGTAACAAATTTTTCCAAAAAAATGGAGACTTTTTGGATGTCACAAAAAAAATAATAATGAGTCTTTGTATGAAGTATTCCCTCCGTTCCACTGTCTTTGTCCACTTACCTTTTGGCACACCATCCAATGTACTTCTTCAATCCATTTTATCTTGTAATTTTGTATTAAAAAATTATAAAAATTATATATTAATAATCTATATGTTAAGACGAATCAAATAAGATCACACATGACTATTTTTAGGCTTACACATTGAGAGAATTTGATGAGTCAAAGTGCTTAGATGAACAGTTCCAAAAGTCAAAACTGGACGAATACTTCGGGACGGAGGGAGTATGATTTTTCCAAAAAAAAACAGAAAAAAATCATTTTCATTCTTCTTTGTGCATTAATATTATTAAAATTAAAAAACAATGATAAAATTATTTTATAGCTATTAATTTTAATTAGGCTAGTTTTTTGTGATATACTTTGTGTCCAATCAACCCTGCAAGATGACAAACATTCCTTTCAATGTTTGCCTCGTGATGGACGAACGGCGGGGTGGTCCCCTGGCCTTTGACGTGGTTCGCCATACCTAAGAGACTGGACCAATGTTAGTCAAGTAATGTGATATGACTGGTCACCTTTTCTCAAAGGTTATCCGATCATTTCTTGAGCTCAACCCATCCCTTTGTTCTTCCGGAATATCCTTCGTAACATTAGGTGACATTTTGGCTATCGCCCAAAATGTGACCGGTCACTTTTTTAAAGAAAGTGACCGGTCAACTTTTGACCCGTCCCAATCGAAGAGTTAACCTCATTTGGTGATTGATGAAAATGATCAGTCATATTTTGACCTGTCCCTTTCGGTTATCCGGGCCGGGTATAGGGATATACACATCACAAGCGACCCAGAGTCTCTCAAATTGTAGCCAATGTATATCATACACGTGACTGTAAGAAAAGCTAAGTATATTCAACGAATATTCATTTTGCATCAACATAATATTTATTTTCAACCGTAGTGCTAATTCTAAAATGACTTGTTATATATCCACTCTATATTTTTTAATTATTAATTTATCATAATATACCAAGCACAAGATACATCTGACTAATCTTTCATATTGGCCACATAGAAATCACACCCTCCTTAAAGAGAAAAAAAAAAGATAGAAATCACACTATTTGTGACACCTTAATTTCCGCCAGCCAACAAACTCCATTATTATCAAATCTGTAATAACATAATATGATCTTCCAATTCTTTCATCAATTCATCTTAATCAATTTGATGAATAAATATAAATTAGGCAACAAACAGATCGAGTGGGAATATAAATATATATGGGAGAATGCCGGCGGCGGGAAGGGGTGATGTGTATGAGTATAGGATCACTGCTTATTTCACATTTGCTTGCATTGTTGCCGCCATGGGTGGATCTCTCTTTGGCTATGATCTTGGCGTTTCTGGTTTCTCTTTCTTTTTCCCCATTCCAATTCTCAATTAATTTATGCAATTCTCACCTAATCATTTTGGTTTGATTCTTTAAACATTTACTATTATAAAATTATTCCAAATGTTAAGGCTAATTGAAAACGGCGTTTCCAAACAAAGGCTTTATAGCATATGGATTTGTTTTAAAGATCGAGTTATAAATTTTGAGTAAGGGTTTGTTTTAATGATCGAGTTATAATGTTAGAATATAAGAAACATTTCCTGGACTACAACTATAAGCTTGAGCTTTTGGTTGAAATGGTTCCTTGACATGGTATCGGAGCCTTGTTGACTAAGAGGTCACAGGTTCGAAACTCCGCACCACACGTACAGTTTTAAAAAAATTAACGTTTCACGTGCAAGGCCCGAAAAAGAATACGCCTGCACATGAGGGGAGTGTTAGAATATAAGAAACATTTCCTGGGCCACAACTACAAGCTTGAGCTTTTGGTTGAATTGGTTCCTTGACATATAATTTTACTTTAATATCATTAGCTTCATTTTGAAATGCTGGTTTAATGGCAATGAATAATTATCAGATAAGACAAATGCAAGAGATGTGTGTGTGTGTTTTTGTTTTATACAGTATGTAATTGATTTGTTTTGCTTTGTTTTAGGTGGAGTAACATCCATGGATGACTTCTTGAAAGAGTTCTTCCCCAAAATATACAGAAGGAAGCAAGACCATCTCCAAGAAACAGACTACTGCAAATATGACAATCAGATCCTCACTCTCTTCACTTCATCTCTATACTTTGCTGCCCTCGTCTCCACATTCGGGGCTGCCTATGTGACCCGAATCAAAGGCCGCAGGGCCAGCATCCTCTGGGGTGCCACCACTTTCTTCGTTGGTGCGTTGATCAACGCCTTCGCCAAGAACGTGGCAATGCTCATTGTTGGGCGTTGCCTTCTTGGCTTCGGCATTGGTTTTGGAAACCAAGTAAGCATAGCTAGCACTCGAATCTTAGGTTAAATTGGTTAAGAGTGTAAAAGCGTTCTTGGGGACTTCAATCGCGAGTTTTGGTTTTTGGTTTTGGTCGGTTATCTGACATGGTATCGGAGTTTCCCTAATCTAGAAGTCACGACTTTAATTTGAGCCTTATTGCCACTTGAACTTATTCTTTTAAAAAGAATTGATGTTCACGTGTAGCGTTCAAGCAAGCAGACCTTTAATCATGAATTTGAGCTTCTGGTTGAATTGATTCTTTCACAAAATTGCATTTTTAGTCATGTAACTTAATTTCTTGGACAATTTTTCTCCCATTTTTCATAAATGTGCATTTTTTCATACATGGTTCATTGCACTTGCAGGCAGTGCCTTTGTACCTTTCAGAAATGGCACCAGCAAAGATCAGGGGGGCCATAAACCAGCTCTTCCAGCTCACAACCTGCCTGGGCATACTCATAGCCAACTTCATTAACTATGCAACAAATAAGATCCACCCCTGGGGGTGGAGATTATCTCTGGGGCTAGCCATGGTCCCCGCCGCGCTCATGTTCGTGGGCGGGCTTTACCTGCCCGAGACCCCTAACAGTCTTGTCGAGCAGGGAAGACTGGAGGAAGCTCGGGCAGTCCTTGAAAAGGTGAGGGGGACGTCAAAGGTCGACGCCGAGTTTTCGGACTTGATGACCGCGAGCCGGGCTGCCCAAGCCGTAAAGCAACCTTACCGGAACCTCCTGAGGAGGAGGAACCGGCCTCAGCTCGTGATAGCGGCCCTCGGGATCCCCGCGTTCCAGCAACTCACGGGGATGAACTCGATTCTTTTCTACGCCCCCGTGATATTCCAGAGCCTCGGGTTCGGGTCGGGGGCTTCGCTCGTTTCGTCCACGGTCACGAGCGGGGCCCTCGTTCTGGCCACGCTCGTGTCCATGGCCCTGGTGGACCGGTTCGGGCGGCGGGCATTTTTCCTCGAGGCGGGGGCGGAGATGGCGTGCGCCCTGGCGGCGCTCGCCATCACGCTCGCGCTAGAGTCAGGGCCAGGGAGGGAGATCTCGAGGGGGGTCGGGATCTTCCTCCTGGTCCTGGTATGCGTGTTCGTCCTCGCGTACGGGAGGTCGTGGGGCCCGCTCGGGTGGCTCGTCCCGAGCGAGCTCTTCCCGCTGGAGACGCGCTCCGCGGGGCAGAGCCTCGTGGTGTGCGTGAACATGGTCTTCACCGCATTGATCGCGCAGAGCTTCCTCGCGTCGCTCTGCCAGCTCAAGTACGGCGTCTTCCTCGTTTTCGCGGCGCTGATCGTGGTCATGAGTTGCTTCGTCTTCTTCCTCCTGCCCGAGACGAAGCAGGTCCCCATTGAGGAAATACATCTGCTGTGGCACAAACACTGGCTATGGAGAAGGTACTGCCCTCCCCTGGAGAATAATGTGCTTCATGAAAATCCATGACAGAATGTTTTGTGAGACTGATCACGCTTGTTTTGACAGTTTTGTCCTTAGTTATAGTTATGAGGGGAGAGATGATTAATTAGCATTTACGTTTTGAATTAATTTCGGAATGATACGGATTAATTTTGGAAATGCTAAAGTTAATATTGACGTTGTTACCAACAGGATCTAAGTATTACATTTTTTATTTGGAAAAATTACCTAAAATAATCTCAACTTTACCCGGTCTTTTAAAAATAATCTCACCTTTTACTGTGATGCATAATAATCCCAACTTTACTTAAATTTGCCAGTTTTGGGTCGCCGTTAAGTTTCTAACGGAGGGCTAACGGAAATACCCGTTTTAGGCAACAAAATGAATATTGGGATTATTTTTGATGAATTTTTATTTTTTTAATTTTTTTTAAATTTTTCATTTAAATTTTTTAAATTACTTTCTACCTCCATTATCATTTCTTTTTCCTTTTTTAAAGATTAATCTTAGTTTAAAAAATAAAAATAATAGATATAAAAATGAAAAAATGAGAAATGTAACTAAAATGATACAAAAATAATAAAATAAATAAGGTAATCAATGGAAACTAACTTAAAACTGGTAAAAGTAAAATAAAAATATATGGGTGGGTTTTAATATTTTACGCATTATACAAAGTATTAACATATCACTTCTTATTTTTTAGAAAAAATTATCTACGATAATTCTAACTTTACCAGACGGCTTGTTCTTTTAAAAAATAAGTAGTACATTAAGACTCCGTATAGCATGTAAAATGTTAAAACCCACCACTCCGTATATATTTATTTTATTTCTTACCAGTTTCTGTTTAATTTATACTCCGTATTGATTACATTATTTATTTGATTAATTTTGTATAATTATAGTTATTTTTCTCATTTTCATTATGTTTATATCTATTTTTTCTAAGGTAAGAATAATCTTTAAAAAAGAAAAAGAAATGGAGGTTGAAAGTAATTCAAAAAATTTAAATAAAAATTTCAAAAAAAAATTAAAAAACAAAAATTCATCAAAAATAATCCCAACTTTCATTTTGTTGCCTAAAACGGGCATTTCCGTTAACCCTCCGTTAGAAACTTAACGGCGACCCAAAACTGGCAAATTTCAATAAAGTTGGGATTATTATGCATCACAGTGAAAGGTGGGATTATTTTTGAAAGACCGGGTAAAGTTGAGATTTTTTTGGGTAATTTTTCCTTTTTATTTTAATATCTAATAAGGAGTATTAATTTTATTTAATTCAAGTCATAATTATATGGGTGGCTCTAGCATGATGGAGTTAGAAAATATTGATTTTCTAACTATTATGGAAATAGAGAAAATATTTTTGGTATCTGTAATAAATAGTCAATATACTCAAGAAATAAGTTTTTTTAAATTTTTTTAATGTAGATCACTCAATGCATCCCTTATAAGAAATGAGAAGTTTATTTTGCAAAAAGTGATTATGTTTACTTTCAAATAAATGTATCTATATTTATTTTTTAATTTTCAAAAATTTATATATATATTTATTTTAGATAATATTATTACTTTTTGTAGCGTTGTACTTTATTTTATATCATAGAAATATAGAATAAAAAGTAAGTTTCTAAAATTATACTTCCTTCATATCCTTAAAATTTTCTTGTTTTGACTTTTTGTGGTTTTTAAGAAGAGTTCGCAAAAAGTGAAACTTTATCAAGATACTCTTAATGAAAATGGTACAATGTATTAAATGAGATTAGTGAAGTGTAATAAATAAAAAAATAAAGTAAGTGAGGGTATTGTGGTATTTTAAATACTCTGTGTTAAAGAAGATAACAAGAAGATCTTTATTTAACAAATAAAAAGGCTAATAAAAAAATTAATGGGAAACAGAGTGAGTACCTTTTAATTACGAAGTACATATTTTTCCGTAGTAGCTCCAATACAAAAGTGAGAAGTTGGAAATTACTTTTTTACACCTAAACGAAAATTTTAACGGAGCACCATTATGAGAATAGATCTCATATTTTGGGACCAAAGTACCAAACAAAGAAATGTTATTTTTGCGGGACCATTTTGGAAAACACATTTCTTATACTCCCTCCGTCCACAAATAAACTTTACATTGCGCGTTACGATGTTTGACTGAAGTTATTTTCAAATCATTTTATATGAAAAATGGTGTAGAATTGAAAAATAAAAATTATATATTAAAAAACTATATCAAAAGATCTACAAAACTAGAGGTGACATGACTATATTATTTTATCAAATGGGTGACGAAAATAGGCCAACAAAGTGAATAAAGTTTGACCTTGTGAATAGTGAACATAAAGTTTATTTGTGGACGGATGGAGTATTTAAAGTACGTTTTTGAAATTTAACTCGGGTGGAGTGGAACACATGGAAGATAAGCTACTAGAGGTTAGTTTGAGATGATTTGGTCATGTGAAAAGGCGTGTACCTGAGGCTCCGGTGCCGAGATGTAAGAGGCTTTCAATAGTTGGTAGGTTTGCATTGGGATAGGGATAGACCTAGGAATAATGGGAAGGAGGTGGTTAGGCAGGACTTAGGACATCTAGCTAGCTCTTACTGATGATATGGCTTCAGACAGGGACGTCTGGAGATATAGGATTAGGGTAGTTGAGTTGTCGTTTAGTCTAGGGTGTTAGTTTTGTTCGTGTTGTTGTTTATTTTGTTGGTTTGACGTGCTTCTTTTTTCAGTTTTTTATGTAGCTTATGTCTTGTCATTTTTTTCTCACCCTTAATGTACTCTTTCCTCTTTTCATGCTACTTGATTTTTGTGTTGTTTGGGCTGAGGATTTCTCTAAAATAATATCTCTACTTTTAGTAGCGGTAAGGCTAGGTCTGCATACACATCCTCCCCAGACCCTGTTTTTGTGAAATTTTACTGGGTTGTTGTTGTTGAACTCAGTTGTTTTATTTTCATTACGAGTATACTTTGTGCAATTTCTATTGTGAAATATTATATCATTATCTATATAAATTTTACGGTGAAAAGATTCAGTCAATCTTTATAACTCGGAATAAAAGTAATTGTGAGATGGAAAAATCATTAATGGACTTGACACATTTTTGACTATTTATATTTTGCAAAAGTGGCAAACACAGCCTTAAAAAAGATGAGCCCCCATCTTCGAGGACCTCCTTAATTAGATCCGATCGAATGATCATTGAAAAGAAACAAATTAGATTTTGATCGTAAATTGGTGGTAGGAGTGGAGTCTGGTACTTGCAAAGGCCTTATGCTTAGCATAATTGTCTTTCCGCACAGTTGTCGGGAATCAAACTCAGATCTACGTCTTCACGCTTTAAATTTTTGCTAATTACGCAACGCCTACGGGCAATACTGCCATTTGACCGACTGTGTAGCGGTGTGCGCGAATTTCTACACGAGAGTTTGCATGCGATGTGATCTGATGAGAAGTCATTATAGGTGAAATAAAAGATGATTGGCTTTCTTTTTTGATTAAATAGTCCAAGTCAAAACACAGCTAATATTTTCGAGGTACTCCATCTCCATCATATTCTCCTTTACTCTCACCTTCCTACGGACTCACTCACTCCTCTCATATCATATTCGGCCAAATAGCTCCGGTGCCCCATGTGGTTTGGAAAATTGGCACCAATCCCCCCTCTATTTTCAAAACTTATTTCTAAAGTCCCCGTGGTTTCAAAATGCTGCACCCGTGCCCCCTCTGATCATTTTCCGGCCATTTTCCGGCGAAGAGGGGGCATTTGCGCATAATTTTTAAACCATAGGGGGTATTCGTGCTCATTTTTTATTTTTCGTTTATTATTTGTATTTTTATTTTTTTAAATATTTTCTATCTCTTTTTTCTTTTCCTAGTTTTTTTTTCAAATTTATAATGTTTTAAAATTTTAAAATTTTTTGTTTTTGAAATAAAAATAAAAAAATTGACATACATTGCATCTATTTGAAACTAAACATTTTCACTTTTTGTTACGTACTTATTTGGAAAGTTCAAAAAGAAAAACCTAGAATAAAAAAATAAAAATATGGAAAAATAAAATGAAAAATAAAAATACACAAAAAAAGTCTGATACAAAAAATGGACAAACCTAAAAAAGTCCTTAGAATTGAGATGTTCGAAAAAGATATTCATTTTTATTTTTCTATTATTTTGTTTCTTATTTTATTCATCATTGTTTTGAAATTCTCCAAAAAAAAGTTTACTTTTATCAGAAAAAACAAAAATTATTGATTTGAGAAGTACATATACATTATATGTTAATTTTTTCAAACAAAAATAACTTTAAATTTTATGAGCATTATACAAATAATTTTAAAATACCTTTATTAATAAAAGAAACTATAAAGGAAAAAATGGAAAAAAACAAAAAAATAAGCGAGAAATAAATATCAGCACTGATACCCCTGTGGTTTAGTAAATATGCAGCAATGCCCCCCTTCTTCGCCGGAAAAATGGCCGGAAAATGATCAGAGGGGGCACGGGTGCAACATTTTGAAATCACAGGGACTTAAGAAATAAGTTTTGAAAACAGAGGGGGTTTAGGTGCCTATTTTGCAAAGCACGGGGGTACTAGTGCTATTTGGGCTATCATATTCACATATAACCCCACTCCCTTTTTGAAGATCCTGTTCCTTTTTGTTGGTGCAATTTGATTGCCAGTAAAAAAAAGGCTAAAGCCTAAAGGTTAGACCAAGAAAAATTAACTTTGATATTTCTCTTAAACGGAAGGATATGATATACGGAGTATATATAGTTTTGTACTACCTCCCTCTCTAAAAAGATTTATACAGCTTGATTTTTTTTGGTCAAATTGTGTTATCATTTGAGTACGAACTATATAAAAAATATATTTACTTATAATGTGAATTTAGTAAAATTAGATTTAATTTTAAAGTATAGTTTTGAACTATCAAATGTTTATAATATTTAATTATTTAAAGATATATTTAATTTATGGTCAAAGGGTGTTATACTTTAACCAAAAAACTTGAACCGGATTCACGTGCTACATTGATGAGCCATTCTTCAATGACCTTATTCGAGCAGAGCATGAGCACCGTGTCGTAGTGTCACATTGATTGTTGATACAATTTGATAGTAATTGTTTTTATTGAATAATGAAATTTTAAATAGTATGTTTAAAAACTACATGTAGAATCCTAAATAAATTAGGAGGAGAAATATAGTAAAACAATGAATACAGAAACTAAATATATTAAGATTCTATTCCTATTATCCTCATTCAAGCTGATCAACAATTTTGATGGGCAACTTGGAGCGCGCATAAGTACTCGAATGGAGTGGCCGGAAGAAGTTCCTTCAAAATACTTGCGAGCTGTAATATAACGAAGCCGAATGCCCAGTGCATCTATAA